ATCAAAAAAAATTATCCCCCAGCATAAAATAATAACTGATTTAAGACTTAAAAATTTTTAAAAAAGAGAGATTTTAGCCCGTGTGTATCCCCTTTTTTTCCCCCGGGGGGAGAGGGGGACTTTTTTTTTTTCTTTTTTGCCCGAAAGGGCGGCAAAAAACCCTAGCGGTGTGGAAAATGGCCCCCCCCCCCCCTCCCAAACCCCATGAGAAAGGTAACACGATTGGAGAAGGGGGAAAATAACATATCTCTCCTCCTCGTCTCACGTCCCTCACGTTGAGGATTGTCATGCGCGCTCGGGGTTTTCACTTGCTTTACTCCCTCTAAGGAGAAGAAGGAAGAACTAGAAGTGAACGCCCAATCTAAGTTGGGATAAAGCTTTATCAAAGAACAGTGCATTCCTTCCACACATACAGTTAAAAATATTATGTCCCCTCCTCATGAAAGGAGCTATGACACGAAATTTAAATCTAAGAAATGATGCCACAATTTCTACCTAAAAGCCAGGTCTGAAAACGGGTATGGATTTTACAGGTCTGGTCTGAAAACGGATTTGGAGAACAGGGCGTCACACTCCCACTAAGAAGTCCCAGGAGTACCCCCTGGGTTTAAAGATAAAGATAGGGCATTGTGTATGAAAGCCAATCGCTTCGCGTTCTACAAATTAACAAAAATAAAATAAAATAAAATAAAACAGAATGTACTCACATGATAGCTGCCCAAACGTTTTGAAAATCAAACAGCTGAAATATTCTGTCCCAGAGGAATCGCGTGTACAACGGATACCAAGGTTTATAATCCTTCCTTGTAGCAGTGATGCGTGTTGTACACCACTTTTAACCTTATAAACATTAAAAAGAAAATTGGTCATGGTTTTTAAACGTGGCTCAAGAGTCTTTAGAATATTATTATACACGACGACGCAGAGCTAACTAACAACGTTTTGAGCACTGACAGAACACAGTTTTGTCCAAAAAAATCATTTAATACACAAAGAGAAATAATTGGTTTTCTTTTTAATTAAGAAAACTGTTGTTCTTCTCCCATATGTCCGAAACCGGCAGCGAAAGCTTATTTGAAGGGCCTGTAATTTCATTGCCATTGCTGTAGTTGTTGATTAAGCTTCCTATTTTATTGTAAGTCTGAAAATGATTTGACTTCCTCCTATCTCGTCAACAGAACAATTTATATCAAATTTGGCCAGTAATAGATGAACAGATCAACAACAGATACTGCAGAGAAGAGAACAGTCTTAGAATTATAAAATCTCTTACCTGAAGACGAAATTTTCTACTTCCTCTGCGCCTAAAAATTACAAACAGTTCTCTTATTTTCCTGAGATACCCCATACTTTGCTGAAGCTTTTGCCCGTTACATCCAAGAACCCACGAAGAATTTAAGTGTACCTCACAGTTCGTCCAACCAGATTTTCCTTTATAAGGAATTTTTGTCAATACGTTGTCTGATATCTTTAACGTATAAAGGTTCTGACTATGAGTTTCTTTCGAGAAGAAGTCAATATTTTGGCAGTCTAGGGATGAAAAAACAAATGATGTATTATTCTAAATAATTAATATTATGATTATCATCATTATCATTAACATTATACATTTTTTATAATTATTATTGTTGTTGTTGTCTAAGAAATTGACTAACGCCATTAAAATCAAAATTAAGGGCGATGTCATCCTCCCTTGGCCCTAATTTCTTGCCAAAGGGGTAGAGATTGCAACTAGTACTAAACATATCAGTTTTAAACATGTACTTTACATCATGTGATCTGTGACTTAGAAAAACTTTATGCATGACAGATCATAATTTAAGCATATTTGTGACCAGGAAACGGAAACATGCTCTATAACTCCTGCTCTTCATAAATCATTTGTACTTAATTAGAACGTGTATGTGTGTATATGATTAGTAATTTCAATAGTCTCTATAACTATTTATAACATTAGGCATGAAACAACTGTCAAAGATTTTGATTGAATTAACTAGCTTCAGAGTTCGACTGTTAACACCAAGTAGTCTTAAGCTTTTGATTTCAGCTTTCCTTTTTCCTTTTAAGGGTGAATGGTTCACAAGGAATTTGTTGTTGTTGTTGTTTTTTTTTTAATTTCAAAACGGTTTTTTGTCTTGTCAGCCAAACATTCCATCCTCATGTTAATTGTTATATGCGACAAGTTTATCCTTTATAACTCACATAAAACAAGGCGACGTGTATACTAGTCTAAAAAAAATTAAAACAATGCAATCTTTCCAATGGAGGACGATGGCCAAGGGACCTAGTTTCTTCTAATACTTTTGAAGAAAAACTCCTGAAAAACAGAACACTCCCACGTTCTGGAATCTTACCCCTCACTCGTCAAGTACAACATGACTACGTTACAAATTCAGTTGTCTGTTCTAATGTCACAAATTCAAGGGAAGGACAGCTAACTTGGGTCACACAAATCTTGTACATCCCTTTCTCCCTTTCAATGTCGTTTAGTAATGGTTTTTCGGTGGTATGTCCAATTTCGAAGCCACCATGCAGAGGCAGAGGGAAAATGGACGTCGAGTACAACATGTCNTTTTGAAGAAAAACTCCTGAAAAACAGAACACTCCCACGTTCTGGAATCTTACCCCTCACTCGTCAAGTACAACATGACTACGTTACAAATTCAGTTGTCTGTTCTAATGTCACAAATTCAAGGGAAGGACAGCTAACTTGGGTCACACAAATCTTGTACATCCCTTTCTCCCTTTCAATGTCGTTTAGTAATGGTTTTTCGGTGGTATGTCCAATTTCGAAGCCACCATGCAGAGGCAGAGGGAAAATGGACGTCGAGTACAACATGTCAACGTTAGTAATTCAATTGACCCAAGTTCTAATGTCACCAATTGTAACTTTAATTCGGGGTACACATCCAGTTGATATTTACCTACAAGTTTCTGTGTCTTGATGCACTGTGACCTAGTTGTGTACGACTAAGGTTTTGAGTTTGAATACATCTTGTGTCAATAAAATAACTTGTAACTTGTTAAACATGTTCTTACCTTGAAAGTTCCTAACCCTGCTATCTGGTTGGCACGTCCAGTCGTTGCCATCATAAAAAAACGAGGCGTTCTCCCTTGGACAGTTACATGAACATTCTTCAGGATTGGCAACCGCATTGTATTGCCCACACCCGACACCTCCGAAAGTTTGGTTGCATATCAAAGTTGGAATCTGGAAAAATTCATAGCTACGCTCCCATGGGTCATCGTCATCATCACCACCATCATCATCATCATCGTCATCATCATGATTGGTAAATCTGCGTTTGTACATGAGCAAAACACTTCCTGACGTGAATCCCAAGAAAGCTCCGACTAAGGCCTGAATCGACAGCAATGATGTTAACAGCATTTCTGTTCCGTCCTTTCAATTTGACTATCCGGCAAAAACCGTTTCCACGTTTGGCAAAAAACTCGAGAGCACTAATTCCCCGTTGCGTTCAGCTTGGAGCTGAGATGTCTCTTATGTGACAAGGATGTTTCATACGCTATAAGGGTTCGAGATTTCTATTTATGTTTCTCCTTTTAAACTAGAAACAAGAGACTTCCAATAAAATACGCCTCATTTACCTGCTAATGCTGTCATACCTTGAACATTATATTTATTTTTGTCTTTAATATTATTAAATTTTCCTTCTTTTTCTCTAATTTAGTAGTCACAAAGATCAATTTATTTCCTCAGGCAAAATGTCATTAATGTACATAATCCAAGCCCTAGGTTGCTAAGATAGTTCAATAAGGATGTAAAATATTTATATTTGGTTAGATTACAGGACGAATTCCAGTGGTGTTCCAAAAATATACCCTGCACAGAATTTATAGACCATAAATGGTTTGACCAATCTCTCCTTACTGATTTCATATATTAGCCGTATACTTAGTGATGCATAGTGTTATTCACAGGCTCAAAGCAAGAAGATTGGAAAGGTTTGAAAACTTTCCTAATTTTAGCACGAAACATTAGTTAGGAAGCAACAAGTGTAAGAACAGAGACGTCAGTTAAGTTCGGACTTTTTTCTGAGCAGGGTAAGAAAGGGACTTATTTTTAAAAATTTATAGATGCATCATGATCAGCCTTGCCTTTCAATTTAAACTTACAAACGGAAAGAATAAAAAAAGGTTGTGTTGCTCTTTGCTAAAATAGGACATCTTTCTGTAATTGTGGTTGGCTGTTCCACTCGTTAAATATTATAATTGTTATTATTATTATCATCATTATCATAAGAAGTTAACTAATTATGTGGGTTTTAATAGCTGTCATACATGATAAAAGCAATGCCTGTTGATATAATAATTATATTGAATCTCGAAACGATTAGTAGCAATCCTGTGTGTAGTTTTCACTTGGATATAAAATACTCCTCGAAATATTATAAGATGAAAAAAAGATATTCTTGGATCTACTAAAGATTGATTAGAATGTACATATACATGTATATTAAAAATGCAGTATAATTTATATGGTTCAAGTTTCTTTAAAAAGTTATTTACAATTTTTTCAGCTTCGTCTCAAAATTAATGGACAGTGTCCAATACAACATGTAATTCAATTCGATCCAGCTCAGGAAGATGGACTGACGCCAGATTTGCCAGTTAGTAGGCCTTTTGATAATCGTCTTGCTCAAGAACGTTGTAAACTGGCTCATTATCTCTCTTAACGTTACAGTCTTCAACATGCTTTGCTCCCTCTAGAGGGTTATGAATTTTTCCTTCTGAAGGGAGAGACCCATTGTCACCAGAGATCTCTGCATCGCCTTGACCGTTTGCTTCCAGCACGTTGTAAACTGGTTCGGTGCCGAAAGGTGTGCTCTCCCGATCAATTGGCAACTGCTCTAGAATATTGTAAACGGGTTGTTCGATGCTTACCGGGCCACTTTGTAGAGTGTCTTCCTGGTGATTTGGTAACTCCTCCAGAATATTGTAAACAGGTTGTTCGATGCCTACTGGACCACTTTGTAAAGGAGCTATTGAGCGTGAAGCTGAATTGTCCAGAACATTGTAAACTGGCTCAGTAGGTTTATGCCCATAGATATTCTGGCCATCAGGGATGTTCAGTGGGGCGTACACATACCCAGAATCAGCTGTCGGGTCTTTCACCAGACAGTAGTTCGATGCATAGATTCCTGCGGAAATAAAAACTAGTCAATACGAAAACAATTTTGAAAAATTAAGGAGGTCAACAGAGGTAAAAGTACAAGACTACAGAACCGCTAGGGAAAATGAGTTGAAACTGTACCTTTTAAAAAAACGCAGATGTGGAGACACCAGAAGCATTGAGTTTTGATACTGTTGAGGCCTAATTCAACGATACATACCTCACTGCAGTTTAATCCATAACATTTAAAGCAGGAATCTAATTTACATGCGTCCGAATTTTTTCACTGTTTTTGCTTACCCGGCTCATTTGCCTTAATTCTAAGTGTGCTGTAACCATCATCGTCATCTTCGTACGTTTCAGTTGAGATTCCCACAGAATCCATTACTACAGTCTCCTGCAATTATTGCAAAAATCTATATTAATAATTAATGCTGAATACTACAATGGTCTGTTGTTATAACGGGCACGAGATTCTTGCAAAAGAAAGTCAGAATAGACCTTAAAGAGAGTTAGACAGTGATAAAATCAAATCAGCAGTTTGTTATATATTGGTTAAGTTTAGAATTCTCGCAAAGCTAGGGCAATGATTACCCCATATGACCGCAGCAACTTGTATAGCTACAAGTTGT